GTGTGTGTGTGTGTGTGTGTGTGTGTGTGTGTGTGTGTGTGTGTGTGAGGCGACAACACACGGGAGGGAGGGCAGGGCAAGACCCAAGGAGGAGAAAGTTTGAGGCGTGTCTTACCATCTCAGTTTCACCCCGTAAGGTTCCCACCCCCTACTCTCCGCCCTCCCTCCCCCTACTCTCCCCTCCCCCTCTCTCTCCCCTTCCCCTACTCTCTCCCCCCTACTCTCTCCCTCCCCCTACTCTCTCCTCCCCCTACTCTCCCTCCCCCTATCTCTCCCCTCCCCTACTCTTCCCCCCCCCTACTCCCCTCCCCCTACTCCCCCCTCCCCCTACTCTCCGCCTCCCCACCACCACATACTAGCTGGTTGAGGGTCATTAGGTAGCCCCGTATTAACCTAACCGAGACGACCAAAAACAAATTATAAAATAAACTACCACACCCACCCACCCACCCCACCCCACCCCCACCCACCCCACCCACCCCCCTTCACCCCGAACCCCCCTTCCCCACCCCACCCCGACTCCACCCACCCCCCGACTCCACCCCACCCCTTCCCCACCCCACCCCACCCCACTCCACCCCCACCCCTTCCCCCCCCCCCACCCCGGCTCCACCCCCCACCCCGACTCCACCCCACTCCCTTATATTGACGTATAATTTTAGGTAATTTATTTTTAAGCTCAGGTGTTTAAGTCAGGGCCAGGTTGGTTCAGGATTACCTCGTAGTAAACAGTGTAAAGTTTAGTTTCAGTCAGAGGCGTTTCTAAGTCAGGGTCGTTGGTCAGAGGTCCGGGATGTGAGTCAGTTTTTTGTCGCCTTTCCTGAATCTTACCCTCCTCCTCCTCCTCTCTACATACATACATACATACATACATACATACATACATACATACATACACACACCTGCTCCCAAACTTTCTTCGTTGGCCGGTAAATACATCGTCCCTCTGGCGACTTTTACTTTTAGGTTCGTGTATCCAGGTAATTGTCTCTTGATGTTTGGGGTAATTTTTCACTGAACCGGACAAAGGTGAGTAACTAACGGGTTGTGTGTGTGTGTGTGTGTGTGTGTGTGTGTGTGTGTGTGTGTGTGTGTGTGTGTGGACAATCCTCAACCTAATTACTTTATATCTTATGAGTTGATTGAAGAAAAACAAAATCAAACCATTCCATCTAATAGTCTCGTAGAGCCGCACGAGGATCAATCAACTCACTCAATCCGAGGTCACTGAACTTCCCCCTTTCCCCCCTCTCCCCCTCTCCCCTATCTATATGACCTTGTCTCTCTGGGGTCACTGTCGCGCGTCTTACTCCACTTTCTTATTTTTCTCTTACCACTTTCTTTCAAGGATTTCCCCCCCCTTCTCTCTCTTTCTTTCTCTCTCTGTGACCAACACCTGATATGTGTGTGTGTGTGTGTGTGTGTGTGTGTGTGTGTGTGTGTGTGTGTGTGTGTGTGGGAGAGTTCTTCAAGGTGTTATGATAAGTCCTTGTCTATCTGAGGGGAGGTTGATGTGTTGGTGATGATGATGATGATGAGTGGTGGTAGTGGTGGTCATGATGAATATGGTGATGTATATGATGACGAGAATGGGAGACCAAGATTGCAAAGGTTAATACTGTATATATAGTTGACATACAGACACATACATACATTCATACATACATACATATATACATACATGCATAACTAGATCCACAGGTGTTGAACTAGATATGAATATTATAGTCAAATATAATTAAGACAGGTAAATATAATTGAACAAATGCTAAGAGACTAAAAATAAAGTAAACAATGTATCTCTCTCCCGGAAGTAACCCACGAGAGACTTTCACAGGGTTGGAGATAGAGACGGTGAGACAAAGACCCTGGCAAGTGGAGAGAGAGATAGTGTTAATTACTTTACCTTTCTATGAGGGGGGGGTGTGACCAGGTGAATATTTAGGTAAAGTTTACGTGTGTGAGAAGGGTTGTGGTGGTGGTTGTGAGGGTGGTGGTGGTGGTGGCTGTGAGGGTGGTGTTGGTTGTGGTGGTGGTGTTGTTGTTGTTGTTGTTGGAATAATTTTCTTTATTTTATTTATTGTTATTGGATTATTTTACTCATTTATCTTTTTGGGGGGGTTATTCCTCTTTTATTGTAGTAAAATAAGGTTACGTTTTATTCTTATGTTTTCTATCCATCATCATCGTTACCATCATCATCATTATCACCATCATCATCATCATCATCATCATCAGCGAGACTTCAACACAGGGTCGTGTCAGCAGCTGCAGGAGGCCTCAGTAGAAAGCTGCAAGGTCGAATCTTACTGTCCTGAAATCGCCAGTCATGATTCTTGAATAGCGGTAATGGAGAAAGTACACACACACACACACACACACACACACACACACACACACACACACACACACACACACACACACACACACACACACAACTATAATTTACTCATTCACTCACTTTGACTCATTAACTATATTATTCGTAACTCATTCACTCTGTCTATATTGTATATCTGACACACTCACTCACTCACTCACTCACTCACTCACTTACTCACTACCATAACTCCAAGCAAGATACAAGTCACTCAAAGATGGAATAATATATCTGAGTAATGAGCTAATTAAACCTCTTTTCCACCTGGTCACTAGTAAATAGCTCCTAGGTATCGCGAGGGAGGAGAGTTGACTAGTCAATAGTTGATTAAAAATGGATTAGAATTGACGTAGAATGATATTGGAATCCCTTAATAGAAATGACAGCCCTTAGTCGTGTAGGGTTTAGTGAAGTGTTCCCCATGGTTTATTTAATTAGTGTTTCTGTTGATGTCTGTTGGGTGATGGCTGGTGGCTGATGTTTGGTGGGTGATGGCTGATGTCTGGTGAGTGATGGCTGGTGGCTGATGTTTGGCGGGTGATGGCTGATGTCTGGTGAGTGATGGCTGGTGGCTGATGTTTGGTGGGTGATGTCTGATGTCTGGTGAGTGATGGCTGGTGGCTGATGTTTGGCGGAGTGATGGCTGATGTCTGGTGAGTGTTGGCTGGTGTGATCTTGGCGGGTGATGGCTGATGTCTGGTGAGTGATGGCTGGTGGCTGATGTTTGGTGGGTGATGTGATGGCTGGTGGGTGATGGCTCCATGTCTGCTCAGTGATGGCTCATGTCTGCTCAGTGATGGCTCATATCTGCTCAGTGATGGCTCATGTCTGCTCGGTGATGGCTCATGTCTGCTCGGTGATGGCTCATGTCTGCTCAGTGATGGCTCATGCTCTGCTCAGTGATGGCTCATGTCTGCTCGGTGATGGCTCATGTCTGCTCAGTGATGGCTCTGTCTGCTCAGTGATGTCCATGTCTGCTCCAGTGGCTCATGTCTGCTCGGTGATGGCTCATATACTGCTCAGTGATGGCTCATGTCTGCTCGGTGATGGCTCATGTCTGCTCGGTGATGGCTCATGTCTGCTCGGTGATGGCTCATGTCTGCTCGGTGATGGCTAAGGGAATAAGAGTGAAAGTGTGTCTTCTGTGTTAAATGTGTCTCCCATGTTGAAATTATTGTGTTATTATGTTTCAGCATTGCAAGGTGTGGGCGTGGGTACTGCAGGTGTGGGCGTGGCTACTGCAGGTGTGGGCGTGGGTACTATAGGTGTGGGCGTCGGTACTGTAGGTGTGGGGGTGGGTAACTTGTTTGTTATCTTAGGGTACGGCAGGTGTGGGGGTGAGTAATTGCGTGTTATCTTGGCTTTTGTAGAGTATGGGTGTGTTATCTTGAGCACTGCAGGTGTGGATGTATTATCTAGGGCACTGCAGGTGTGTGGGTGTGTGTTGTCTAGAGCACTGCAGGTGTGGATGTGGGTTATCTAGGGCACTGCAGGTGTGTGTGTGTGTGTGTGTAGGAAACTGCAGGTGTGGGTGTGTTATCTAGATGCTGCAGGTATGGGTGTGTTATCTAGAGCACACTGCAGATGTGTGTGTGTGTGTGTTGTTTAGGAGCACTGCAGGTGTGTGTGGGTGGGTTATCTAGACTCTAGAGCACTGCAGGTGTGTGGGTGGGTTATCTAGAGTGCTTGCAGATGTGGATGTGTTATTTAGGGCACTGCAGGTGTGAGTGTGTTATATAGAGCACTGCAGGTGTGAGTGTGTTATATAGAGCACTGCAGGTGTGGATGTGTTATCTAGAGCACTGCAGTTGTGGATGTGTTATTTAGGGCACTGCAGGTGTGGATGTGTTATTTAGGGCAGGCACTGCAGGTGTGGGTGTTACAGTGGGCGACTCACCATTGTTCTGGTCAGTAGAGACATTTGTGGTCTTTTTCACCAGACAGTGACGAGATGCTCTCTCTCTCTCTCTCTCTCTCTCTCTCTCTCTCTCTCTCTCTCTCTCTCTCTCTCTCTCTCTCTCTCTCAGTTATCTAAAGACAACCTTATTCACACATGATCACTCTAGTACAAGGCAAAGGGATTAAAATTATCGTAAGGTATTTTTCTGAATCCGACTCCAGGTTTTATCAGTTTGGATGACGTGATGTCTGGTGTGAAATAACTTCCAGGGTAATTAGGAAACTTGAATAATCAGCTGACGGCAAAAAAAAAGTCCTTACCGGTTTGTGTGTGTGTGTGTGTGTCCGGCAGCACTGAATGGTCAAGTTTGTGTGTGTGTGTGTCTAATAATACTAAATGCTCATGTGTGTGTGTGTTTGTGTCTGCCGAACAACATGGAATATATCACGCCAATACTATGTTATTCCAACCATGCAAGTCACTTTATTATTACAACATGGACGAGATTCACAGCCATTAGTAGAGTCGTTCACCCGTTGGAATAATACATGGGAAAATGACATCACACAAAACACAGCAGGATGCGAAGACACGCTTATTTACACCCGGATCATGTATGTATGTAGCTGGTGTAGGAGAGGAGAGTGGTGGTGGTGGTGGGCGAGAAGCAGCAGCAACACCGTCACCAATATGTGTGGTGGACCGCTGGCTGTGTGGTGAGAGGTGGTCGACAGGGACCTCAACTCGGCAGTAGGAAGGTCTGAGCCGGAGCGTAAGGATGGCTCTCCTGGGCGTGTGGCTGTTGTCTGCTTTGACGCTCCTCTACCTAGGGGTCCCCAAGGTGGGTTCCTGTGTCCCTCGTCGATAATCTTGTGTTTATATAGTGACATTTGCTTTACTTTATGTAATACGAGGTGTAATTTGCACTATAGTGGAGTGTATTAATTAATCATATGATATTTATAGACTATATTACATTAACAAAGAGACTAATTACCCTAATGACCCACAGTGGCGTATTTAAGGACTGTTTACAGTTCGTGCGTAATTGGTGTATTAACAGTGTATACAGAGAACTGGAGGTGTGTATTCTCGCTGTGTTATGGTTAGTCCTGTGTTATACTCAGCAAGGATGATCGAGGAATTGTTTCATCTTGTGATTTATTGTTGTGTTACGCCTATGATCTCTCTGTGTTGAAGGAGATGAGATATAGATTCAAAAGATGGTGATTTTTTTTCTTTTCTCTTCGTGTCTTGCGTAAACCGTTCACTCTTTTACACACACACACACACACACACACACACACACACACACACACACCAAAGCCTACGTGTGAGACGAATCCTCACCACCGTCTTTCTACCCCATGTTAGTGTATGTGTGTATAAGGAGTGTCAATAAGGAATGTGTATAAGGAGTGTGTGTATAAGAAGTATGTGTGAGGAGAATGAGTGCCTCTTCCTCCCTCCTCCCCCTCCTTCTCATCCTCCGTCGCGAGGGAGGTGACCAACGAGACGTGGATGATGTTTTATGGTGTGTGAAGAAAGCCATCAACAGTTGCTGGTAAAAGATGAGGATGAGTTGTCAAGTCCTGGTCTGTGTCTGTCTGTCTGTCTGTCTGTCTCGTGTATCCGGTGAATGTATGACAGTTTGGTGAATGTTTATAAGTGGAAGGTGATCGTTCTTACTGATGATAAGTGTTTTGAGGGAATGTAATGCACCTTTCTCTTGCTGTTGATCGTGTTGTGTCATTGAGGAGTTATTAGTGTGTGTGTGTGTGTGTGTGTGTGTGTGTGTGTGTGTGTGTGTGTGTGTGTTTAGGGGAGGGGAAGAAAAATCGTAGCATCGTAAAGAAAATGAAGATGGAGAATTAAACTACTGAAATATCACCATTGTTTATGAAGATGATTGCTGTTAATGGAACCTAACCCAACCCACTCACAAAAGACATTATCATTTACCTAACCTAACCTAACCTAACCTAACGTAACCTGTGCTATTTTTCGTCATGTTTTTACTGTGTTTATTCCAGTAAAGATGTAAAGTTGGTTGCATGTTTATCAGGGGAAAAATTTTTGATGTTGATAAAGAAGATTTGCTTGTAGAGATCTGGACTTTCTCGTCTGGTGATTGTCTGTTTACACACACACACATACACACACACACACACACACACACACACACACACACACACACACACACGCACACACACACACACACATACACACGCACACACACACACACACACACAGAAGGTGGTGGTGTTGCACGATTATACACATGACTCGACTTTTCTCTTGCTGTAGGTGTGGCAGATGTTTACTGGAATAGAGATTGAAGATGGTTAGTCGTGGCTACTGTGTTGTGAAACAGATTTAACCTACTAAATTATGGCTGCTGTTTTATATATGTGGTTTTCGGCTCTACTCGTGTCACATAGTAGACTGTTTACTTTCAATTGCCATATTTGTTTACTCATACTTGCGATTGTCATGTCATATTGTCGATTGTCTTCTAGTGATTGTCGCATTATCGACAGTCATACTTATACATGTTATATTATCGACTGTCATACTTATACATGTCATATTGTCGACTGTCATACTTAAGCGTCTCATATTGTCGACTGTCATACTTAAGCGTGTCATATTGTCGACTCTCATACTGTCATATGTGTGGTTCTCATTCTTTTGACTGACATACATGTGATTGTCATGTTTGTATCTGAAATATTTATGACTGTCATGCATGCAGCTGAAATTATGTGTGATTGTCATATGTTAGTGTCATAATAATGCTGTCATGATATTTTCCGTCATGTAATTGATCGTAATACACTGTACTGTTATGTATGTGATTGTCATACTCGTTAATATGCTTGATTGTCATGGTTTGTGACTGTCATAGTGTTTGACTGTCATGTTATGTAATTGTCCAGGTAAATGTCATGGTATGTGATTGTCCAGGTAAATGTCATGGTATGTGATTGTCCAGGTAATTGTTATGGTATGTGATTGTCTAGGTAACTGTCATGGTATGTGATTGTCCAGGTAACTGTCATGGTATGTGATTGTCCAGGTAACTGTCATGGCTGTTGTCACCGGTACGTTACTCACTGCTCTGGTAACTGTCGTGACATTGAAAGTGGTCATTGTATGTCACTTAACGTTATGGTAGCTGTCATAATGCGCGACTGTCATGGCTTGTGACTCACGGCATGTACCTGTCATGTTATGTCATGTACCTCCTTATGGTTACTGTCATAAACGTTTGTCATAGATACGTCTGACTACAGTAGTATAGGTTAACGAAACAAATAAATGAGATTAAACGTAATTACGCCCATGATGCCAACAATTACGCCCATGACGCTGACAATTACGCCCATGACGCTGACAATTACGCCCATGACGCTGACAATTACGCCCATGACGCTGACAACTTGTAACGAAAATCCCAAAATCGGAAAATATCGATAAAAAGGAGAGAAAAATCTGCTAAAAAAACGCATTAGTTATTTATCGATGGTGTGCGTGTTAGTGAGAGCTGGCGGGTGCGACCCACATAGCTCCACTGCTGACGCCCGCTGACCTACACTACTCCCTCCCTCCCTCTATAGCTAAGCACTCCCTCCCTCCCTCCCTCCCTCCATCACTGTGTAGGTGTGTACCCTCCCTCCCTCCCTCCCTTTTTATGTAGTCAAGGATCCTTCCTTTCTCCCTACCCTCCCTCTCTCGTCTTTGTGTAGCTGAGCACTCTCCTTTCCTCCCCCCTACCCTCCTTCACTCCCTTAATTTTCCTTTCTATCCTCTCTCCCTTCCTCCCTCCCTCTTTGCCTCCCTTACTCTTTTCTTTTCCGTCCTCTTTCCTGTACTCCTTTCCTCTTTCCCTTCTCCCTTCCTCTGTTCCTCATTTACATCTTACTTCCTTCCCTCTTTCTCCCTTCTTTCTCTCTCTCTCCGTCCTTATCTAGTCTTACTCTTCCTTCCTCCATCCTCCTTCCTTCTTCTCCCCTCTCCTTCCTTCCTCTTTCTTCCCTATCTGCTCTTCTCCTCCCTCCTCCCATTTCCCTATTTTTATTCTCTGTTCTGTCTCATTCCTCCTTTCCTTTCTTTCCCCCTTTCCTACTTTTCTCACTCCCCCTTTCCTTCTCTCTTCTCCTTTTATGTCTCTGCTTCCCTCTTTCTCCTGGCTTTCCTTCTTCCTTTTCTTCTCTGTCTGTTTGTGTGTCTGTCTGTGCCTCAGGTCCTCAACTTTCTCTGCCTCTCTCTCTCTCTCTCTCTCTCTGTCTCTCTCTCTCTCTCTCTCTCTCTCTCTCTCTCTCTCTCTCTCTCTCTGTCTCTCTCTCTCTCTCTCTCTCTCTCTCTCTCTCTCTCTCTCATAATAATAATAATAATAATAATAAAGTTTTGATACTTATTTAATAAGTTATATTACGTAAGATGCGGCTTTCTTCTATCTATCTATCTGTCTGTCTATCTGTCTGTCTGTCTGTCTGTCTATCTGTGTCTGTTTCTCTGTCTGTCTACAAATTTGCACGAGTAAGTATTCCATGTATAAAATGCAGTATACACACGAATACATCCTACATAACATAAACCTAGAATACACCATTGTATACATAATATAAACCAGGATGTATATAATAATAATACCTCAAATACACCTTATACACCTCGCCCTGAATACCACAATGGAACGGTTAGTGAACGTGGGAACTTCCGGGAAAGAAACGGAACGGATTTACCTTTTCCTTAGCTAATTAAATGGTGTTGTTGAGGTCCCGTTACGTAAAAGGTCAAGAGGTCAAAGGAAAAGCAGGTGAGAAAGGGTAGGGTGGTCCATTTCGTACCTGTTGCCCAATTTGGTAGTTAGTGGGTAATTGGGGTGATGGTTTAGTACCTGGGGGTTTGAGGGGTGGTCAGTGGAATTGTGAGTTGGTATGTTTTGTGGTGTTCGGTTGGTTAGGTTTGGTTTGGTTTTGGTTATGTATTGGTTAGATATGGTTTGGTTAGGTTTGATTTGGGTAGAATTGGTTGTTTGGTTAGGTTTGGTTATCTATTGGTTAGGTTTGGTTATTCTTTGGTAATGTTCGGTTAAGTTAGGTTTTATGTTAGGTTTTGGTTATATATTGGTTAGGTTTGGTTATTCTTTGGTAATGTTCGGTTAAGTTAGGTTTTATGTTAGGTTTTGGTTAGGTTTGGTTATTTTAGGTAATTCATAGGGTCCCTTGTTGTCTGTAAGGGATCTAATACAGAAGAGTTTTATATCTGGTACCATTCACCCATAAGGCCTGTGATTATACCAATCCGTACCTCGACAGTGATTAGCACCATCTACCTCGTTAGTGATTAACACCATCTACCTCGTTAGTGATTAGCACCATCTGTCTCGAGTAATTAGCACCATCTATCTCGAGAGTAATTAACACCATCTACCTCGTTAGTGATTAGCACCATCTGTCTCGAGTAATTAGCACTATCTATCTCGTGAGTAATTAACACCATCTACCTCGTTAGTGATTAGCACCTCTTCCCTCATCTATGAATAGCACCAAATTCCTTACCTACCAATGGTGATAATTCGCAAGCGTAAGGAGAACTGGTCTGTGCGTGATGACTGGCCACTTGTAAGCTAGCAGTACTGTAACGTAGTGTGGCCAGCAGTACTGTACCATAGTGTGGCCATGCAGCAGTTCTGTAACGTAGTGTGGCCAGCAGTACTGTACCATAGTGCGCAAGGTGGAGGAACAAGTGGTGTGGCTCCTGCTTGGTTATTGAGTTTTTATAGGTGTTTGGAGGAGAAGGTTAGTAGGGGAGGTGTTTGGAGGAGGAGGGTAG